CTGTCTACCTACCGTTCAAATTTTCAAGTTGCTTATTTGATAAACAAATCGCTTGTATTGTAAAAAAAATTTGAATATTTATGTTAAATTTTACAGTCCCATTGTTTACTACCAATTAAATAAACTTTTAGTAAATAATAAATTTTTAAAAATTAAATGAAAAAAAATCCAGTTTTATCATATATATATATATATATATATATATATATATATATATATATATATATATATATTAATTATTATTATATGACTATATATATATATATATATATATAATTTTTAGTATTATATGACTATATATATATATTAATTATTATGACTATATATAATAATAATAAAACCAAAAAATAAAAATTTAACTATAAATAATAATTATTAAAACAAAAATATAAATATATATATATAATAATTTGTATTATTATATGACTATTGACTATTATAAAGATTATTCATATATAATATAATGTTACATTATTTTCTATTAGATATTATTGGTAAATTAATAATATAATAATAATATCCTTATTAGTTATATTATCTTATATTAGTAGAATAAACATTTTTATCCTTATTAGTTATATTATCTTATATTAGTAGAATAAACATTTTTATCCTTATTAGTTATATTATCTTATATTAGTAGAATAAACATTTTTATCCTTATTAGTTATATTATCTTATATTAGTAGAATAAACATTTTTATCCTTATTAGTTATATTATCTTATATTAGTAGAATAAACATTTTAAAAATATGAACACAAACGTGCTGCCAAGTTTAAACTTTATAGTGTGAACAATCAGATTGCGCTGAGGTATTAGATTGAAAGCTTGTTTCATGCGTTTATGTATTATACGTACCTACAAGAGCACATCATATATATACATTAAGCCACATCATTGGCGCAAAATCGGGAGCTTATTTCATTAAAATACATTTTGCATACTTTATAATTGGTTATAACGTATAATTCTTATAATTCAGTCATAATTCAGTTATACCTTACAATTTAGTTAGCTTTTATTAATTCATTTGGTCAGATAATAAGTTGATTTAGTGAGCAATAAACTAAATATTATCGCTGGTTGATAGTAATAGATGGTAATTAAATTATAAAATTTATGAATCTTCATTTAAAAAAAATAAACGTTAACAAATATTGATATTAATTAACTAACTCAACTAATCAATATTTAAATTAATTGATCAATCAATTTATTTTAGAACGATGAACTTTGAACCCTGATCCATGTATTTGGAAAGCTTTTTGTATATATTAATCTCTCTTCCCTTACTGCAAATTAGCGGATCCAGAACTTTGCGTTGGGGGATGATTTCATGGACCTGCCCCTGCTACTATATGAAACAGTCACAATAATACATCCTGTGCTGTTTAGTCCACTTTTAGATTTGTGAACCACTCTTTTAGTCCAGCATATACAACTATACTTACCATATAATTAAAATAAATTATGTCATTTAGTTGTTACCATGGACATAATTTTATATTATATAATATTATATATATCCATGGTTGTTACACAATATATTTTTGCAATCATTGATAAACAAGCGGAAAACTAGGAATTGAACTTATCGATTCATTTATATATATATATATTCAATTATTGATGAAAATCGCAGCATTTTCGGCGTTAGTTAATTTCCTATTTAACTTTTCTAACGGTTGATCGTAAATCGTTCTCAAGTTTCTTGAGTTCAAAACCAAAATTTTTGTTTATTTCATTCATGATAACAAAAAAGCTCTTTTCGGTATTACCTACTATACCATCTTCGGTGTTCGAATAAATACGCTGTGTATGTGGCCAGATGCTCAAGTATATATGTATACTGTGTCTCTACTCTACTTTGTCGATTCCTTGTGTGTTATGGTCGTAATGGATAAAGGCGCTTAGTCCTGTTTCGCGACGCAGCAGGCAGGGTACAGCTGTAACGAAAATGTTTTGTCAATTACTTTGCTTCATTTTAAATTAATAACACTCATCAAATGTAACAACGTAAAATGTTTTACTTTTAAGGCCCCTTGCCTTTGCCGCTGAATGGTTATATAAACATTTTCTCTATTCAAATCACTCAAAAGTTTTTAATATTAATATTACAACAACTTTCAATAAATCACATGCAAGCGATGAATTAAATAAATATTATTAGTTTCATGGAGAGCATTTATTATTTTCATCAGTGAATGTAGTACTAAAGCCCAAGCAAATAAATATTAATAATATGCATCGCGTTCTGAGCCAGTCTTGTTATATTAATATTCTAGCTGCTCCTCGATAACATTTACGTGAAATTCAATTTTATTATAATGTTTCGTTTCGGCATCAACGTCAGCAGAAGCCTGTTAAACGGACCACATCTCGACTTGATCAAATTGCTCAGATTAAGTGTCTGGTTCGTTTAACTAAAGTTGACTTTTTGAAAATATGATTTTTTTAAAGCAAAAATTTAACACAACAGTTATTGTTCTTTTGCAGAAAAATACTATATTAATTTATTTTTAATATAAAAAGATTGTAATACAAAATATTATAACAATAGTTATTGTTAATGCTGTACCTAACATTGAATATTCAAACGGTTCACGACGAACGTTTAAAGAATGTTTCAATTCGAATGCGATCAACATCTCACCGTCGAGAGCCATTTGATATTCTTAAATTGCTTTCATTCTTTTAATCAGATCATCTACCTATAAATAAATTTAAGACCTAATTTACATTTTGTCACACAAACAAGCACATCATTCAATTACCATAAAAAAGTCCAATAACTGGCTTCTACTGTGCTGCTATTACTTCAAGAATAGAAAAAAAGAAATTAATCAAACAGTTTTAAAGATGTGTAGATTTTTACACTCAGAAATTTATCAACAATCGACAACGTTTTTTAAATAATCAGTTTATAAACTAGCTAAATATTAATTGATAAGGAAGGACTCACATATTTTTAAACTTCAGCTTCGCTTCTCAATGCTTCAAGTATCAAACCAACCTTTTACTTTTGTTGAATTATTTGGAATTATCAGTCCCGGATATTAATATTAGAGTTAAATATTAAATATGAGAGTCAAAACAGTATCAAAAAAGGATACTGAGCAAAGTGTTTTGGTTGGGCTGGAGCAACCAATTTCAATCAATGTAAAGAACTTCCTAATTAAATTAATTAGCTGATTTTTTCCGCTAAATCAATTATTAAAATTTTCAGCTGCAGATTAATCTGCATAATAATAACAAAAAATATGTTAGTCAAAGTTTTAAATTATTGAAATAAATTACAAATACTCTCTGAAAAATGATAAGTTATTCTTCTTTGAAATATTTATTACCTTATCTCTGTTCAACTGCCTGTAAAACAGCGGCATAGTTTACGAGATTAGAAAAGTATGTGCTACTTTGAGAAAAAGACTATGACAGTTAAGCCATTATTTAGCTTTGCCACAATTAGATCTACCAACACAATACCTACACAGCAGCTTCTATGATCTATTGCAAGTACACAACCTTTCTATTTTTGATATTTTTGATATATTTAAATATTAATTGGTAAGGAAGGACTCACATATTTTTAAACTTCAGCTTCGCTTCTCAATGCTTCAAGTATCAAACCAACCTTTTACTTTTGTTGAATTATTTGGAATTATCAGTCCCGGATATTAATATTAGAGTTAAATATTAAATATGAGAGTCAAAACAGTATCAAAAAAGGATACTGAGCAAAGTGTTTTGGTTGGGCTGGAGCAACCAATTTCAATCAATGTAAAGAACTTCCTAATTAAATTAATTAGCTGATTTTTTCCGCTAAATCAATTATTAAAATTTTCAGCTGCAGATTAATCTGCATAATAATAATAATAATAACAAAAAATATGTTAGTCAAAGTTTTAAATTATTGAAATAAATTACAAATACTCTCTGAAAAATGATAAGTTATTCTTCTTTGAAATATTTATTACCTTATCTCTGTTCAACTGCCTGTAAAACAGCGGCATAGTTTACGAGATTAGAAAAGTATGTGCTACTTTGAGAAAAAGACTATGACAGTTAAGCCATTATTCAGCTTTGCCACAATTAGATCTACCAACACAATACCTACACAGCAGCTTCTATGATCTATTGCAAGTACACAACTTTTCTATTTTTGATATTTTTGATATATTTAAATATTAATTGATAAGGAAGGACTCACATATTTTTAAACTTCAGCTTCGCTTCTCAATGCTTCAAGTATCAAACCAACCTTTTACTTTTGTTGAATTATTTGGAATTATCAGTCCCGGATATTAATATTAGAGTTAAATATTAAATATGAGAGTCAAAACAGTATCAAAAAAGGATACTGAGCAAAGTGTTTTGGTTGGGCTGGAGCAACCAATTTCAATCAATGTAAAGAACTTCCTAATTAAATTAATTAGCTGATTTTTTCCGCTAAATCAATTATTAAAATTTTCAGCTGCAGATTAATCTGCATAATAATAATAATAATAACAAAAAATATGTTAGTCAAAGTTTTAAATTATTGAAATAAATTACAAATACTCTCTGAAAAATGATAAGTTATTCTTCTTTGAAATATTTATTACCTCATCTCTGTTCAACTGCCTGTAAAACAGCGGCATAGTTTACGAGATTAGAAAAGTATGTGCTACTTTGAGAAAAAGACTATGACAGTTAAGCCATTATTCAGCTTTGCCACAATTAGATCTATCAACACAATACCTACACAGCAGCTTCTATGATCTATTGCAAGTACACAACTTTTCTATTTTTGATACTTTGGTCTTGGTCACGCTCGGGTAAAAAATACCATGATTCCATGATATCAGTGAAATAGTATTAAAAATTGAAAAAATACGCAACGCGCACACACACGTACACATCCAAGGCGCAAACATATAATGATGAAAAATGTCAAAAATGAACTCGCGTTGAAATAACATCATTGATAAACGACTTAGAGGGTGAACTGAGAACCAATTTTTAGACATCATCACCAGAATAAGGGTCGAGCGGTCCACACTTCCACACCCGCCTAACGACGCCACTGTGTGCGTGATGAAATTCATTGAATTTTTAGTGTTGGGGTTGGATAATTTTTTACATTTTTATATTAGCAAGTCTTTCATTACTGATATCAAACCAACTCTTCCAACTAAGCGAAGATGTTATAAAAACAAATCTAGCCATGAACAATTGAACACCTCGAGATGACTCTCAACACTAAAACGAAGTTAACTAACATTACAAATTGTAATTTCTTTAAACAGCGCTGCACGGAAGATGATCTATGGAACAAAATAGGTCTTAAGAGTAAATTAAATATGCATTTGCAAATATTAATTTTAATAATACTTTTTTTGTTAATTCCAATCAACTAGATAACAACACAAAAAAAAGTTGTCAGACAAAAATGAAAAATGAAGTAACAAATTATAGAAACGCGCTGAAAAACACTGTACACAACAAACAACAACACACGTTTAGACGACATTTTCCCAGAGATCGGGGTTGCCGTTTGGCTACCTATGATGAAACCATTGTCACTTCTGTCATCATAAGTAATTTATTTGGCTAATTTTTACGCAGGACGCCCTTCCTTAAGCAACCACAGTTATAAGCGGTGGGCCTAGCCTTTGATGATCCAATATCACTCACAAGGCAGTGAGGGTCAGTTTAATGTCATAACCAGGACAGAAAAACACTGTACATATTTAAATATTTAAGGTTGAAAAATGTTACAAGACTAAACAAACGAACTATATACAGTATACACAGTTTTATTAATTCATTGATTCTGACGGTCTGGATGAATAGGCACACATCAAAGGCCATAGAAACATGGAATTGAATCGGCTTTGAAGCTGTTGGAATTGTTCACTTTCGTTAATCAACTCATACAGCGTACATGCTTCTTCGTGCGTGTTCACAATCTGTAGAAAAAATAAGTAGATGGTATTTACTAATGTATACACACGCACACACACACTCATACTTACACACACGCACCACACACGCACCACACACACAATTTTCAAAAGCTCATATATATATATATATATATATATATATATATATATATATATACTGGTAAAAGACCATAATTAATGCAGTAATTGCAATAATTCTGTAGATTTCATAAATTACTATTATATATATATTATATATATATATATATATATATATATAATAGTATTAATTTAAAGATTGATGGAATATTAGTCTAATGAATAAATAAATTAAATTATTAATCAAATTAACTGAAAAGAAACTCCTCACATCATCATTTCTAGTCCTTGTCCTTCGGCCTCGCAAAACCTCAACATACGAATCAAAATTATTATCGCCATCACCATCACCAGTATTGGCAGAAGTTACGTTCTCCGTATATCGAGCGTTGAAGCAGTTTGTGGGATGACAAGATGAAATATTTTCTGAATTCATAGAACTACCCGAGGAATAGTTATGATTCGCATTGCTGCTACTGCTCCTGTTCGTTACATTGATGTTAGACACGTTTCCATCATCATTAGCATACTCGCAAAACGTCTTGTTTGAGGAATCGTCGTCTTCAACATTACTGAGGCACTCTATTTTAACGCTGAACTCATCGACGCTATCAGATTCGTCGTTGAAAACATAACTGGCATCTTCAAGGATCTGAGTCAATCGGGCACTGTTGACGACGTCTTCAAACTGCGTTCTCTTCCATGGAATGGGAAGCGGTTGTTTCGATGGGAATTGCAAGAGACCCGCCTTCATGACTAGTGCGTTGCGATGGTTCAATAGGTTTGTGAATGCTTGAAGCGTCGTGAGATTTGGAGGGAGTGGAGGTAGAACCGGAACAAAATTTGTCGACGATGAGGAATGTGGATGTGCGCTGTCATTTCTAACCACGCATGATGTCCTCGGAGGTGCTGAGCTACCGATGTCCTTCAGTTTCAAGGACTGCAGAGAAATAACATTAGGAAATACTCGATAAACAAAGGTCCTCATGTCAAACAATCAGAAAAAAAATTTCTTACGGCATTAATTAGATTTTCAAATTTCTTTTTGATATGTACATTGAAGTTATCTTTCTTCGTTTGTTGCAATCCATATTCGGACGACGTTTCTTTCCCTGTCGGGTTCAATTAAAAATTAACTTTAAAATTATTTACGATAAAACGAATATACCACTTTTGAAAACCTCAGCTAAATTACGTTTAATAACTCGACAACTCGTACAAAACATCTCGTACAATGAAAAAGCAGGAAAAGTCGGAATGGAATAGCTTAGAAAAAAGACTACGAAGATGGCCTCTATACAAAAAAAAACAGCTTTCGTTTTTATCCAAAAGGGATGAGACAAATAAAAATGGCAAAATTAAATTATAACCCAATCTAAATATCTAATGACAATTTGTAAATATGGAACATAAAGAAATGAGTGAAAAAAATCTAGATAAATTTTCTTTATACAAAAAAATCTAACTCAAGCGTTTAAAAATCAAGAACAAATTTTTTCTCTTATAAATTATTTTGTAACAAGGTCAGTATTCTTTTAATAATGAACAAGATTTTGATTAGCCGGATTTAGATATCATGTGAAAGTTTCTACACATAAAGTTTAGCACAATTGTTTAGAACCCTTGTATTTAAAAACTCAAGTTTGCAAACGTCAAATTTATTAAGTTTATCATTGTTATGTTTATAAATGATCAAATAACTTATGAAAACAATTAAAATATGGCTTTTATAGGAAACTCGGTCTGAAAAATCATATAATCATAATGTATGAATATCAAGTTAAGAAGAATAACCTGCTTTAGAGAATGAGTTGATGGTAGCAAAAAGTTGTTTCTCAATGAGTCTCTCTAGAAGTACATCCTGGCGCTTGATGTGGTCCGCATACTCGTGCGGCATCTCTGCCTCCCCCAGCAATGCATTCCCAAACCTGCCAACATATTCATCGCCACTGACCTCATTGTCTTTTATGTTGACAATTTGCATTTCTATATTATCACTGATATCGACACTGTCGTTGATATTTCTGCGAAGGAAGTTGGAGCTGTTGGTGGAACTACTTCCCTCATCGTATATATAACGTTCTATGTTAGCACAAGTCCACAGGGAGGTGCCGTCCTCACACTTCACAATGCCTAACATCGGCTCACCTGCTAAGTCATCGTCAGCATCATCATTAGAGCCGATGTTTGTGAATGCATTAGAATTGTCAACTGGAGGTGTGCCATTCGCATCTGTCTGAACATCTCTCTCAAAATCAAAATCATCATCGTCATTTGTCATGTAAGCGGAATGATCTATCTTCAACTTTTTATGCCGTAGTTCGTATTTCTGAAGATAAAATAACCAACTTTAATTTAAAATAATAAATTATTAAAAAATTACAAATTATTTCTTTAAATGAAAAAAAAGTCCAACGTGTGTTGAGATTCTCTTATTGGAACCTCCATTGTTATTGCTGTTGGCGGCTTCATTCATATCCTCAACGTCTTCATCATCCTCGTCATTATCATTAAAATTAAATTTAAAACTGAAATCATTCCAATAATCCTCATCATCGTCATCCTCCTCTTTCTCATCTTCGTCCGTCTCAACTGATCGTTTCTTCATTCTCCTCGACCTCGTCATTTTGTTTCGCAGTTTGGAGTGCACAGGCCGAGGAACATCTGCAGCATTCGTTCGTTCGTCAGAGTTTGTCTAATTAAAATAATTTTTGCTACAGTTAACGAAAAAACTTACCTAAACTTCCTTCATCGTCAGACTCATCCTTAAAAAAAATTTTGAAATCAATATAACAGTCAGGTCAGTAAAAAATACAAAATACAATCAAATTTTTTCCAAGCAACGAAAATCACGGCGTACCATGTTGACGTCGTTTGCTGTTTCATCACCTCCTGCTCTGTTGTTCTGAAGGAAAAATATCACATTTGTATTGAGAATGAAAGTCAATCGTAATGTCTCAACAAATTGATACTTTTGCTAATATATCAGTCACTCACTCCGCAGGCAGATTAATAATCACGATAGGCTGTAGAACAGAATAGAAGCACACTAACTATCACACTCCGCTATATAAGAGAAAACGCTATTAAAAAAAGATACTGGTCACTATGAGAACAAGAGCAAAAAAAAACCAAGAGGCTCATTACGGTTCATATCTAAAAACAAACAGAACAGCTCGAACAGATTGTGCCCATATATAGACTCAGAGGTCATAAAACTGATCACATGCTGGTATTTGATATCACAGAACTTTCGTTCGAAATAAATTTAGATTCAGGAACTAACAAAGCAGTATTTAGCACTATAAACTGCATGCAGATCAATTATTTTTGCGTTGAAATGAAGCAATGGTTTTAAAAAATGATAAAATACATTAAAAAAAATTGAAAGATAGAACTAATGAAGATGAAACAAATGTACCGCCTGCTCCCACTGGAGCAATCTTTTGTAGCGAATGAGTATTTGATTGTCCGTACGGTTCGGCAAATATAACTGGGATATTTTCGTCCATTTGCCTCCTGTTTTAATATTAAAAATAAATTGTAAACACGTACAAGTTATAAAAACAAACAATAAATTCACTCTTGGTACAAAGAATACTTATCTGACCACGGTATGCACACATATGGCCTAAATCTAACTAAAATTTTTAAGACGGTATTGAGAGTTTAAAAAGCGGCACACCAGCACGCAACTGACATTTACAGCTGATCTCCAGATTTAACCACAAAATATCTCAAAATAAAACACACATACATACGCGCGCACACACACACACACGCACAAACACATTCACACCACACACACATACACATATATACATATAATTATTTAAAAAACTCATTGCATTTTCAGATTCCTTAATAATTGCATGTACGACAGTCTCAACCCTAATTTTGTATATACATATATAAATTTTATGTATTTTGCAAACAGTAAGTATGTTCATGGGTACATTAGACTGCAGGCTGGTAAATGAAAAAAATATCATCACCCCATGCCTGAAAAAATGATTGAAAAACTTTTGCAAAGTCTTAAAGAGGCTCGCATAATTTCATTTAAAATATTTCTCAAAATTTGCAATATAATTATTAAAACCAAATTAATAAAACATTCACATACCAAGGCCAAGTTGCTTGACTGCTTTCCACAACAATTTGTCTTCCTTGGGTGTCCACTTCCCTCTCTTCAAGTTACCGCACAAGTTGTTCATGTACCTAAATCAATTTAGGTGATGTCAAATTGCGAATGTTGAAATGAAACTGATGTAGTAAGACATAAACAGGCGAAGATGAATTCAACTCTAACAGGAAACAACTAAATCTTATAAAATGAAATGAATGTTCACAGTTAACTTCATCATACGTTGCCGAAAATTTTGTGGCTTCAAATTCTCAAGTTTTTTTATCAATAACATTTGAACAAATGAAATTCTTTATTTTTATCGGCCGTATCTGATCAAAGATTTGTAATGAAAATACCAGGTGGTTGTTTTATTTTCAAATGAAAATATTTTTCTTTTAATAATGCAAACATTAACCAGTTTGATGGCTGGTCACCACCGAAAAATGCTGCAGTCTAACGGCTTTCAAGCATAGGCATCAACAGTAACAATACTTACAAACACACAACCACCACCAACAACAACAACAATAGCAATAATAATAATAATTTACTTATACTTACTCCATATATTACGACTTACACAATTGAGTGAGAAGAGAAATGAAAAGATAAAATATATCATATATATCATCTTAAATATATCTGTCGTACCTACCTGTCCCGACATTGAATGTAATTCTTTTTAGGAACAAAATATTGAACTTTTTTCCAATTCATTCCAAACAACTTCACTGCATCAGTCAATTTCTTTGTCGAATAACAACAATTAGTTAATTAATTAATTAATTAATTAATTACAACAATTTATAAATTAAGTAATCAGATAATAAATAAAAATAGAACACAATTTAGGCAACAGAAAATTTATCCTCAATTTCCGATTAAAACATTCCACATCACAAAACTGGCAATTATTTATTCATTTTTAAACTTGGTTCCTTGGTTAAAGTGTGTTAAAATTTTAGTACTTGATTTCTAGCACAAATACTTTTAAATAAAAGCGTACGTTTAATGTTAATACCAAAAAGGAATCATCAAAAAATTATATGGAAATATAGAACTCTGATGAGAAACTAGGAAGCTTACAGGAGCAGTAGAATATGAAAACTACCAGATTATACTAAATAAACTTATCTGGAATAATTGGATGAACCTCATAGAAATTTTACAGCATGTGAAAACTTGAAGCATTTTTACTAGCATGCGCATATTATTGTTGAAATGATTGAAAAGTTATATACTTTCTCCAGGTCTTTAGTCCATTTTCCTCTGTGTTTCAACCTCTTCTGCAAATATTCCCACCTATAAATGCATTCCTCTTCAGATTTAGAACCGAATTCTGCAGAAACTGGCAGAAGATAATGAAACGATGTGGCTCAAATAAATAAAAAATTATTAAATAAAAAAAAATTAATTAATTAAATAATTAAGGTAACTATTACTCATGATGCTTCAAAATGATTATCACATTAGGATGAGTGAGCTGGTAAGATTAATCGTCAGAAATAAAATTGAAATGTACATACTTGCCGACCAATCGACATGCGGTAATGCAGACAACTGGCTGTTTATCAGCACCTCTAGCCTCCTATCTTCGGTTACTGTCCATTTTCTGTCGGCAACATTTGTAAAAAAATATTTTAAAATAAATTTAAGACATTAGTTTAAATACATAAAAACACTATGAATGAGAAGCACAATCTACTGCAATCTTTCTGCCTGACTACACAAACATAATTCGTATATTTCACAATCCTGATGCTTATGAAGTGTGGAGGGAAATTTTCAAAATAAGTGTAATTATGATTTTTATGACGTTGTTAATTACAAAAAAATAAATTGTTAGAACATAAAAAAGTAGATAAAACTTCATAGACATTAACTTTAAAATACTTCATTGAACTCACATCTGAAAAACTGGATTGAACTTGCTCTGGTATCGTTGCAGACACATGAAAGCCGTTCTGTTGGTCTGAGCAGTAAAGTGAATCATAAAATCTATCAATGCTACGATATATTCAAAACAATTCAGAACCAATGAATGATAGCATTCGAATTAAAAAGTGACCCATCAGCGAGAATCACTATATTATCCAAGCAAAAATAAATGTCTGTCTGCCATCAATAACAAATTTCAAAATAATAAAATACAATCTGTCTGTCTGTAATAGTGTATGAAACTAACATCGACAATACTCTATAAACACTACAGGCCGCACTAAGTCTTAGTTGAGGAAGAAAGTTTCACAGAAGCTGGAGAGCAACGTCATGAAGACAACACGTGAAAAAGTGGTAACTCATTAAAAGAAGCATTTTCATGAAGAATCAAGTTATTAAGAGTTAATAAACCAGCAAACAACAAACAAACCCCAAGCTGATCAGACACGCGCTTCCAGTTCCTCAGTTTGTTCTGCTTGGCGAGCGTGGACAGGTTGTCATCCTCTCTGGATGTCCACTTGCACGTGTTGATGCTTGGATGACCCGCGTTCTTCCAAAACGACATACAGGCCTCTGGCGTCTTTGTACCTTTCAGCTAAAATGTTAGTGAATTGTTATTAATAAATAACACATTCCATGTTTATAACGGTTTCATAGCTTCATAGTCATTAATTAAACTAAACCAACTCTAGTTCAACTAAACGGTTTAATGCATGTCTCAGAGTAGAAGTTTAATATGCCAATATGTCTGAAATAACCAGATTAACAAATGTTACTCATTCAAAGAACCTTTGCCCCATCAAAATTTAAAACGGTCTATCTTACATGATAAATCACATTTTAAATAATTCGCCTAGACGATTCTAACTCAACCGGCCTCCACTAAATAGTCCCATCATCCCTCCAATAGCACTCTCCCTTCTACACTGATCTACATCCCTCCATACTTATTATTAAATTATATTATTTGTTTGACTAACAATTTATCATGAAATCCAATTTTTTAAATAAACTTATTGCAATCATTAGCATGTTTCTTCTTATAAGAAAGTTTCATTTTTCCTAATGGCACCATTATATTACACGACTAACTGTTTCCCTTATTCTGAATGTTAAATATGAATGTATGTATAATATTTATAAATGTTATTGAATGCTCAAACATTCAAATTTGTCCATTCCTATTAAACAAACTCATAATTTTTTCAGGCTAATCACATACTAGGCAGCCTTTTTACAAAAAAAACCCTTATGCAATAATAAAGAAAATTTTTTATAAACTGGACATTAAAAATTTAACAAGATAATATTAAAAAAGTAGGTTAACAAATAACGGACATATACTAAAAATATTTCATAAAGTTCTTTGAGATAATATTCCAAAGAATAAAAAAACGAACATCAACATTGGAAATTTTGACCCAATCAATGTCCTCCAGTTCCTCAAGATCAGCAAACTTTAGCAGGCTCTGGGTCGAGGACCTGAAAAGTCAAAAAAAGTGTCCGCGATGTAAGAGTTATAATAAACAGTGACTAAATAACTATAAATTAATTTCAAAAATTAGAATTTATTATGAGTGATAAAAAAGTGATAAAATGTTAAAAACTTTATTCTATCGATCTCTTTATCAATTTCAGCCATTTTTTTGTTGAGGTTTGCTTCTTCTTCGCTGCCAGGAGCATAGCTATTCAACTTCTCAAATATCAACTGCTTTCTGTTTATCAGTTAAATAGGAAAGTCGAACAGCAAACATAGTCAAAAGCAAACAGAAATGAAATAAGTAAGAAATTAAAAACAACTGAACATTCATATTTTACTTGTTCATGTGGGGCTTCAAAGATTTCTTCATTCTAAAATCTCTCACAGACTGCTCCAAAATGTTTTTCTCTTCAACCGACCCTGGTAAGTAATGAAAATGTATACAAGCATCCAGAAATCACTCCTAAAATGAAAATGAATACATATACTCAGTAATCACTGCATACAGTTGGAGTTGGCACCAAATTGAAGCAGAGTATAACAATTTATGAATTGATACTTGATAATTACATTGACCGAACAATAAAAAGACTGAACTATAATGAAGACACAGCAAACAACTCACATGTCTTTGATGGCTTGATAAACGAGTAGAGTTCATCGGTTGAAACCTTTTTTAATGTATCCTCATTTGGTTGAGGGTACTGAAATAACATTACATTTAACACATTGTTACCTTATGTTTTTCTTTAATGTATTTTCACTTTGATATGAATACAATACTGACATTAAATATTAACTTAACAATCATTTCATAACATCCCTTCATCCATCGGAACTATCTCACCGCTCTCTTAATCCAATAATGTTGGAAAGCACACAACTAAACTACACTACTCAGCATGTAGAGGAGAAAATTTTTAAAAAATGATGATGATGAAATTAAAAAACAAAAACTAATTAATTAAATGGGTTTGAAAAAAATATGGAAACTTCTTCATACAGATCCGTGGATATCTCTGAAATATGGCTTGGCAAAAACTGAAAATCCTTTCTTTTTTTGCAGATGTTTTTGACTTGCTAACTCTTCAAAATCATTTTTTACTTGTTCCTATGAAAGTTGCAAATGCTTTGATGATAACCAAAAAAATTACACCCATGAAATAATCATTAACAGAAAAACTGACAATAATCTCTGGTAATCATTTAGAAGAAACAATGATAACAAGATTAGCTCAACATTATAGCATGTATTGCCACCGCATAAGCAAGTAAGCAAGTATAAATTAACCCATTCTATCTCAACGTTAAGAAAATTTAGTAGTACATTGTAGCACTTGAAATAGAAGACAAACCCATTTTATGAATCATTATTTGAAAAACTTTAAAATATATATTTAATTTGATCAATCTAATTATAATTAATACAATAAATGAAATAATTTTGAGCAAAAGCAATTAAAAAGATTACTTGATGGGCTCTATTCTTATCCAAGATTAATGTGACTTTTGAGATGTAGTTATTGATCCAAGTTTGGAACTGACGGTTCAGTGCTAGACAGACTTCCAATGGTTTTGTACTCTCCTGGATTATGTTATGTGGCGATGTGTATATATGAAATATGGTATACATGAAATATGGTATATATGATACATGGTATATATGAAACATGGTATATACAAAATATGAAACATACAAAGTACGGTATATACATTTATACAAAATATGGTATATATGAAATATGGTTTATATGAATATGATATATATATATATGGTATGCATGAAAAAGTTTTTGTAAATTAATGATCATGTTGAAATGTGTTGTAAATAAATTAATTAATTAAAAAAAGCTTATACATAAAAACGTTGAATGCTTTGTCGAATGAAGGATCAGGATAAATTACTTACAGACATTTTTTCAAGAAAAATGTCGTCAATCGATCGCACGGAAACAACATCTGAAATAAATACAAATGTAATTATGAATTAGTTTGAAAAATGTTTAAATGTTTTACTTGAATAAGATTATTTATAACTTAAGTTCGTGGGCACGGTTATATAATACACATACAATTTTGTTATTAATTTATAGGCAATGGTACAACTTACAAATCATAATAATCATGTCCTTTTTTTACATTTGTCGCACATGCAAAGCATATCATTTACCAACATAATATTATAACCATTTAAAAATTTTTAAACACATTTTTTGAAGTGTTCGCCTATGTGATCCCATTGACTTGAAGAATTTTCACCATTGAATGATGAATGTTTCCTTACATGGCATTTAGTACACATCTAATGCTACACTACAAAATTTATATAGAAACATAGTTAAATATTAATGTCACTAATTACTAATAAATCTAATGACTAATCTAATCTAAAAACATTGAACTAAGCCTAACACAAATAATTAGAAAACAAACAACAAGTGGATAGAGTACTATTATTAATTCCATACTATCCATACTAGATACTATATTTTAAATAATTCCATACATATAGAGTGTCATGGACAAATGCAAAAAAATCAGATTTTGATATTTTTATTTGTTTAGTGCATGTATTGTAAAAAAATATTTTATTATTATTATTGAATTGGTGACAATAGGTGTTTGCAAGTACTTATCTTCCAGTACAAGTATACAAATAGGAGTACTCAGGTGTCAAGTACGAGCACAACTACCAGAAAAATTTTCTGAGTACAAGTACCTACACCTCAAGTGCAAGTACAAATACCATGGTTTAAGTAAAGGTAGTAGTTCAAGTAGAAGTACAAGTACAAAAACTTTTATTCCAAATGCAATAGACAAAGAACAAAGAGAATCAATCAACTAATTAGTTTATAAAGCACTATTTCAGCAATGTTTTTGCAAACAGATGGGTTGCTCTGAACTTTGTAAGTGATGGAGAAGTTGAGAAGTCAGAGGAGGTAGAACACTAAAAATAAAACTAACTAAACTTCCGTTTCAAATCAATAAAAATTCAACCAGGTATATTGTTACTATGGATGTATCAGATTTGATTTTTATGGAGCTGGATTTACAAAAACAAATTTTTCAATCTATGTGCTTTGAGGTGTTTGATCATTCAAAAATGATTAAGTATTACATGTTAATCAAGATAGTTATATCAATTAGATGGTCCATGCGGTACAATCGTAATTCTCCACTCTTTAAGTTTAAATCATTTCACACATATACAATATGAACGTTCATTAAATAACACACACTAGCATGTTCACGATATATTAAAACTTAAATGCCAAAAAATCCTGCTCAAATCTGTAATTTGGCTCAATTTTGATCTAGTCAAATTTGGAAAATTGGCCGAAGTCTCTTTAAAATTTTTAATTATAACTTTGTAAATTTGTGGAAAATACTTGCATGTGGTACTTGGAAAATTTCAAGTACAAGTAAGAATACTTAGATGTCAAGTACAAGTTCTTAAAATTGGTACTCGAGTAATATTCAAATACAAGTACCATATCACTGTAAAAATTATATATTATTTTTTATTGCTAATCATCTTACTCTGTTTTTAAACTTTAAAAGTTTATTATTGGGTACTAGAAGAATTAAAAAACAGAAACAATGAGAACCAATTAAAAATAAAGTTATTTAATTAATAATAATTTGATACCAACAGATAATAATTAAATATTATAATATAAATAATTAGATTACAAATTATATTATAAAAAAAGTCATTAGCAACCAGATTCCGCAGGCTCAGTGTTGATTTCCAGGAGATTTGAATCACGATCCGAGTCATCGATCTCATGCAAAACAACATTTTCAAAGAGAGCAGCCTTTTTGAGCTTTTCGATGTCTTCGTTTAATTTTTCCTTATCCAAAAAGTCCGCAACGACATCCATTTTCGTGTTGTTTTCGAGAATTTAAATTTTGTTAATCCGATGTTCACTTTTCATTAGTAACTTTTTTTAAAGCGCTAATTATTTAGTAGCGTTCAAGAATGGTCGTCAATTCTGTTGAATATAATGTAGAACAACATAGATAGGAATTTCTTTATTATCGTTACAGATTTCTTTTAAAAGTGTGCCGCACAAATTTTAGAATTTTTGGCTAAATGCGTTTTATTCAATTGCTACGATTTGAAATCTTTTGTAATATACAATTTTTTTATTTTATAATATATTATTAGATACTTTTTATTTTTTCAAAACATTTTAATTAATGTTTAAATAATTTCAAAAGTTACATTTTATATATATGCTATATTAACGTCAAAAAACACTACAGTTTATTATTTTTTTACAATTTAAGTCAAACTTTAAATGCTCCATAATTCAAAATTATTGTTTTAAATTACCGCTGGATCTATTATCGGCCGCTTAATATGTATTTAGCATATATATTAATTTTTATATAAGCTGTAAAATTTTAGATGGCATGAGTGAGTTAAAGTTGCGATTTAGTATCTTCTAATTTGGTTTTTGATCAACACATTGTGCTTGGGGTTTTGTTTGTGAATATCGGTAATATTATAAACGAAACTTTTTTAAATATTTATTTTGAAAGAGTAATTATATTAAAAATATTAAATAATGAGTTTACAGTTTCTCTGAAAAAAAGCCATTGCAGAATTCGATGCATTTAACAGGTGAAATAAATCGCAAGAAGATATTAAGTGCAACCTATATAGAGAAAAGGAAAATTGGGCTATGTCCCATATGAAAATTAATATATCTTGTATTTGTGTAGCACCTCTTGTGAAGAATCTCAGTGGCGCTAGCTTTGCTGTAGATTGCTAAAAAAAATGATGCTTCAAACATTCCTTAAACAGCTGTCGGCTTGTATCGTTGAATTTTTCAGTCGCGCATGCAAAGCATTCCCAATTTGAGTCGATGATATTGAAAATCTTTTATTACTAAAAAGCGAATAGTTATGTATTGGAAGCACAGAATCTCCATTGTTGGATCATATATATTGATTTGTATATATGACATAGCGCAATTTTTCTGGCACAACATAGTACTTAGTATCTTCGTTTTTTTTTTTAGAAAACAATCAAAACATAGTCTCAGCACGTGATAACTTCAAAGAAGTAAATCACCCAATCATTTTTTAATTTATTTGAACAAATTAAAAAAAATTTATATTTCGGTGGTAACAACTAAGTAAAATAAAAATTATCATTTATTGTATTAATAGCTGTGTTAATTTATCAACAAGGGATATTGATTTCTCTTTTTACGGTTTAAAATGAACTTTACTGCGTTCAACCAATTCAATGTTTATTGTTTTTTAATTCAAATATTGTATTATTCATTTTAAAGTAAGTCAATCTAAGTTAATTTCTTTTTCCTAACTGTTTTATATTTTTAACATAAATACTTTTATTTAAATAATTACTGTTCATAACTTTTACTCATATACACCAATATGAGCACTATATTTTAATTAGATATCGAATGCAAAAGCCCGAAATTATCTTGCCGATTTGTTCACCTACGGATGATTTCGACTGCGACGAACGTGTTAACTGCGGTCTGTGATGCACGCGTTATCTGCGACGCACGTGATAATTGTTATTCACGTGTTGTCGCGTAGAAAGTTACTGTAATAATGAAGCTGCTTACAAAAATGACAATGAACTTTCAAGAAAAAAAAAGTTATTAAAAAGCCTTTACGGCAAATAACAGGCCGTAAAATTTTGTTTAGACACAAGTCTTCGTTACTATAGTAACGTGATGTAGCACGTTAGTTGTCAATTGTCTACTGGCGTTTGTTGTTGGCATCCATCATTGGATGTCCACCCCTTTCATAGCCATTTTATAGCAATCGGTTATTTGGTTGTCCAGCACTAGGCAGACTAAATCTTCAATTGGATTTGTTTCTGCGATTTAAAACAAATGATAAAAATGGCAATCATATTTAAATTTAATGATTTGCGCCATTGCGCCAACATTTTATATCTACACAAATTTTAATGTAGGTCTCCGTTGGATCAAAATAATAAAACTTTTGTTAAAAAATTAGAATATTTCATACTGTATTTATTTACATAATAATCAGCAATTTTTGCGTGAACAAATGCACTGTTGCGAACGATAACTAGAAGTTTTTAATAAAACCTGTTATTTTATTTCATCCGATAAATCTTTCTATTGTAACTTTGTAAATGAAAAATTTGCCGCCCGATATTTTCAATTTCAACTTTTAACACGGATTAGGGTATTACATTTCAGACGAACAAATTGCTTTAAACTAGATTTCATTTGTCAGTTGTAAAACATGAAACTCATTATGGCGTTCAGTTTTCAATGTACACTCGCTGATGCTTTCATACGTTTCTGACAGCTTATCGCGAGTTTAATTAAAACGTCGCATCTAAAATATGAAAATATTTTTACAGTTTTGAATTTTGTATCCTTACGATTTGCTATTTGTAACAATTGATCAAAATTAAAACAATAATTCTGTCTAGATTTTTTGAGGGTTGTTCAAATAAATATTTAAAAATGATTAGCGATAGCGTATCACTACGAGATGATATGTAACTGAAGTAACTCTTTGGAAAGCTGTTTGTTAGCAGGTAGTTGCACATGCTGTTATAATATGATATATATTATTATGAATTATATTAACATTTTGTAAACGATAACTTAATTCCTAAGAATCTCTTGAAAACCTCAAAACGCGCGAGGACATTATCAAATTAAGTTTTTCAAAGATAAAAACTTTTATAATGCGATCCATCAGTAAGGAATTACATTTGTGTCGACCTGATCATTCTGTTATATTTCTATTTAAAAAGTAATCCGGGAAAAAAAACAGCACCAATGTGGAAGCTGTAAATGCAGTAAAAGAGAGAAAAATGATGAAAAGAAAATAAGAAAGACAGAAAGATAGAAAAATGAACGAAAGTAAGTAGTTAAAATTTATCGATATTAAAGTGGCATTGTAAAATTCCAAATAATAAATTAACGATAATTTTTTGAATGGATTGTGAAGCATTGTTCCAATTAGCATTCATCTTATTAAACCCAGAGATGAACTTTAACAACGAAGTCTATGACGAAGGCAGTAACGCATATTTTATAACGCAATGCGTGCGTGAATATTTTATGTTTCATTAGGAGTACGCAATAGATTTTTTATTCTTTAATGAAATAAAAATAAATAAAATAATTTAAAAAAATATTGTGTGGTGGCCCACTTCCGCTCTTTCTTAAGAATAGTAGCAGTATTTGCTGTTTTTCCAAAATTAAATCTCTGATTTCCATTGCGGTATCATGCTTAGAAATTTGACCGAATTGTTTTACATCGTAACAACAACACTAAAACACACGTGGAACAAACTTAATTTGCCAAGATGTCTTCATGGTCTTTTGTAAAAACGTTGCAAGAAATATTACCTGTAGATTTTGTAAGAAATGGGATCAGTTTCGCATACTTTAGTTTGTTGGCTGATTTCAATTGTATTAGATTGATATTATTATGTTACGGTCTTTATAAAAATAATATATGATTGGTAACACATATACACACACATATATACTACACGCACACACCTACACCTACACACACACACCTACACACACAGACACACACATACATACACTCATACATACATACCATCGAAATGGCAACTGTACAAACAGTTTGTGATAAATTGTTATTTTGAAATTGTTCTTAAACGAGAATACTTCTGTTCTTAAGATTAAAATATAAATTAAAAATTAAACCTCCGGGCAATACACGCAAACGATTACAAAATGAATGAGCACGCGCGAAGAGTTTGAACAGTGATAGAAATGAATTGATGAATTGATAGCACATTAAAAACAATCCATTACATTACAAACAATATATTACATAAAAATGGTACAATACATTACTAACAATAATAATAATTTTACTTTACAATCAGCACATACATTATCAACAATAATACATTATAAACGATACGATACATTATCAACAATAATACATTATAAACGATACGATACAAAATAACGACGCTAACTACATAAGTAGTGTGCTGGCTGAGATTTTGTAAACATTTCGAAAAATTATATTAGCACCTAAATAAATAATTTTATAAATAAAATTTTATTTAAAATGTATATTTTCATTAAAAAATCTGCCTAATCCGTCGGGACCTGTTTAATTTTTTTTTAATTTTTTTCAATAAGTAAGATTTCAACTCAGCCATCAATTTAGTAAATTTAAAAAAAAGCAAGTTAATTCCGTTGATTTGATGATCTGTTCGTTGAAAGTTTTTTAAACCTAGTTAGTAAACGATGGTGTCGCGTTTTGCTTATTCTTAAATACACACTCGGAAGTCGAGCGGTACCTATAGATGACAGACAGCATAGGTTTCTTATACTGGTGCATAAGAATGTTACGTTGTGTTGTAGCTGTTGCTGTGTGCTTGTGTGTTGTTGTTGTTTGTGTTTTGTTATGTGTGTGTGTTTTATTTGTGTGTGTGATGTGTGTGTGTGTTGTTATATGTGTATGT